CGTCGAAGTATTTGCAGCAAGAAGGTGGCACAATAGTATTTCTGTGTTAGAAAGGTCACTCCAGGCACACTGTCGAGGGAGAACAAGAGGAAGAGAGAGACAGGTACAAATACAAGAGAAAACAGTTTGAACTAGGTTTCTGTGCAGTTTAAATGAAGAAAAATAGGCTTGACTGAGGAAATGTTCAGGCTGTTTAGTGGCTAGGGCTTGGTGATTGTTAGATGTGGGAAGTGAGGGAACTAGAGCAGTCGAGAACAATGCCCAAGTTTCTCTCTTAAGAAACGGGTGAATGGTACTGCCTTTCACTGAGATTGAGAACACGAAGGGAAGTGGAGCTTTGGGCAGAAGTAACTGCCAGCACTTAGTTAATGCTTCAAACTTGAAGATGGGATTCTAAGTGCTTTGTATGTACTCTGTTATTTTAGAATTGACTAAAGTGGTAGAGGTAAAATAATGTGCCCAGAGTCACACAGCCGTGGAGTTGGCTCCAGGGTCCAAGCTCTTAACCATGATGATGTACTTTGCACCTTTCAGGAGCACCGCTTCAATTGTGAACTTATGTTTGAGATGCCCATAAAACATAAAGTGGAAATAATAAGGGAAATAAATCTGAGAAGAGATTTAAAAGAATATTCACAGCCATCTACTTATCAGAGTTAAATGAAGTGAGAGTTGGGAAAGGTGAAAGATTGTAAAGGCAGGGAGAGCACAATTAGGAGCACAACAGATCTAGGGGAAAAAACCTCTCATATCATAAATCTCGATGTTTGGTAGAGAAGATGGCACCTTCTCAAAAGGTTGAAATGGAGGAACTGAAGTGGAAGGATAAATCTCAGAAGAGTGTGATGTCATGGGAGCCAAAGGAAGAGAGTGTTTCCAAAAGAAGGATGTAATTCTCTGCCCAGTGCTCCTGTAGGTCAATTCAGAAGGGATTACAAGTATAAAAGTATTAAAGGAAAACTTTCCTTTAAACATGGAGGTTAATCTCCCACCTTCCTTATTTATTATTCTTACAACCAAGATTCCATTAAGCTAAAAGGAATTTTAAAACACATATACTCACAAGGGTGGAGAAAATAGAAGAGGAGACCTCAGGGGATAAGAAATTTCAACAAATTTTGAGAAGATAGGAGAAAGATGTGGTTTATATTCACCTACATACCAAGTACCTTGTTAGCTACATTAGGAAGCACCCGCAAAAGGATATGAAAATTGATTTACTCCACAGACCTCCTTAGAGTTTTGAAGACAACAGGTACCAGGCAAGGAACTGAAGAGACAGTAAGAAAATGAGAAAAATTGACTGAAATTCTGTGTTTATAAAGCTGCATGGCTATGCATCAGGCAGAAGACCAGAATATTCTTTGGCTTGCTGCCGGATCGTCCTGCAGTGAAACCTTTCATGCATACAAAGCTTCCAATTAGCTTTTCAGAGCTTCACTCTTCAATTTTGAAGGACAGCCAGGGATCGCCACATATTTGTGGAAAACCTCTATCATGAAAGATAAAGACTAAAAGAAACAGAAAATAGAACTCAGAAATAAAACCAGGAGCATGGGGAAAAAGGCAAAAAGTCTATAGTTAATATCTTCTGAGAGAAATGAAAATGTTATGACATCCTAAAATACACAAGATGCTATGAAAAAGGAGCTTTCAGAAAGAAACAAATAACTCTTGGACAGTAAAAATATGCCAACAGCTAAAAGATAGTATGGTAGATGAATTGAAAAGATAAAAGTTGAGAAAATCTCCCAGAAAAGAGTGAAAAAAGACAAAGAGATGGAAATTACAAGAGAAAAGGATAAATCTAGGAGTGAGACCCACATCTAGCTAATAGGGGTTACAGAAAAAGAGAAAATAAAAACAATGAAGAGGAGGAAATTATCAATTAAATAATAACAGAAATTTTAACAAAATTGAAGCTTAAGTGCTTCCAAAGTGAAGAGGCCCATAAAGTAGTCAGTACAGTGGATAAAAAATGCATCGAAGCACCTCGCCATGAAGTTTCAAAAGATGAAAGATAAGATAAAAATTCTACAGTGTTCTGGCGGAGGAAACGGTATGTGTGAAACAGAATTTTGGATAATAATGGAACTGGATTTCCTGACAACAATTTTAAAAGCTAGAAAATAATAAATTAAAAACGCCTTTAAACTAATGATGGAAAATTATTTCTGATTGAAATATAGTCCGTGAATCAGATACCAAAGTCATCATTGGGTGAAGATCAGTGTTTAAGAGATGGTAAATGAATGGTATGAGGAAGAGTAGAAAGATGTTCCTGCCAGGTAATGAGAGCATCAAAGGAACAGGGGTTTTACGGGATGAGAGAAGAGTAATGGCTTTTAGAGAACAAGGGCGATAACAATTCCATTTTCCAATCCTGAAATGTTTAAGGTGTGAGAAAATCAGCATGCTCCACTTTCAAAGGCTGAAAGTTAACCAAGCTTCAGTTGAGACTGTGAGGGCCGGGGAGCACTCAGTGAAGATGAGGCTCAATGAAGTTGTTGATCCCGGTGTAAAGCACAGTCTCAGAGGTCAGAGGGAGTAGAGGAGATGGAAGCTGTGTGAGGGCAAACGCTCAGCACATTGTGGGGATGAGACAAGGGATGGAAAAGACAACCAGAGAGCCTACATTTGGGGTCAATAAAAGGGAAATCAGTCCTAAATGAATCAAATTCCAAAAGTCTTGGTGGACAGTGGATACTCTGGCCAAATGGTTCAGGCCTGGATGTTCTTTTTCCTCTTGGTTCATAATAAAAAAATTTGCATTTTATTATTGCCTAATAAAAAATTGGCAGCAACAGATGAGTATAAAGAAAGAGCTACGTGGTTCAGCACTAAAGTGTGAGTACTAGGCTCTGGGAACAAAAAGCATAAACAATTGATTCCTCACTTGTCTGTGCATCATACAGGCACACAGGGTATATGCCTTGAGTCAGATCTATGGCATCACAGCTGGGTGGTCAGTATGGCTACTGGTGACTCAAATTAAAGACTGGGGAATCTTTTGAGACACCTCCCTCTCCCCTACAGCCTCCCTTTCCACCTCTCATTTAATCCTTCACCAACACATTGGATTCTGTTACTTAAATATCTTGCCAATCCATCACTTCTCTCCATCCTGGCTGCTACTATCATAGTCTAAGCCACCATCCTTGCCTTTACAACTGCAATAACCTCAACAAACATTTACTAGGTACCTAATATATGCCAGATATATACCAGATGCCTTTGCTGGCCGCCTAACGTGTGTTAAACCTCAGGTAGAGACATGGAAGATGCCAACCTGCAATGAGGGATTTCAAGTCAAGCCAAGTAAAATAACAAATACAAAAATCTCGTGATTCAGGCTCCCAGAAATGTGACATGCAGGAGTTCAAGAGAGAGAAAGTGATGGAAAAGGAATGTCCTCTTTTTAATGTTTTCAGTCGGCCTTCTTCAGATTACCATGTGCAAATAACCGTCTATAAGTGCTGACTTATGAACCTGTCCCCAAAATGTTGTTTTATAAATTTCGGGAGTTAAAGGAGAAATAAGGATGGCTTTGGGCTGAACATCCAACATCTTTTAATCATATCCTACTCTTTTGTCTCCAAATTTGATTTAACCTAAACAATTTGAAAAACAAAATGCTATATTATTTTGGTAAACTATCACTACTTTCTGTTTTGGCAATAAATTTGTGTTGGTAAGTAAAAATAAATCAACAAATAAAATGCAAGTTTCAAATGAACGCTCATTCAATACTACTTCTGTGTTGAAGTGCTGTACTGTACTGTGTACTGTGAACTCAAAGATGTGGAAGACAAGCTCCTCTCCTCAAAGAACTCGCCTCATACATGGGGAAATAGTGTGCGTAATTAGGAAGCAATGGGATTAGTGCGCTGAGAACTCAGAGGAAGCCGCTACTCATTCTTCCTCAGGGGAATTCACAGAGATAGTGACCTTTTAGTTAGAATGAGAGGTTTCTCAAGGAAATTATCAGTAGCTGATGGTGGTTGAGGAGAGAACCCCAAACATATTCACTTATTCATTCATTTATGCATTTGTTTGTTCATTCTGCATTTGTTCTTGAATACCTACTATATCTAAAGCACCAAGACAAATGAAAAGTGAACAAAACACAGTTCCTACCCTCAAGAACTCACAGTCTAGGAAAAGAATGACGTGAAAAACAATAGATTTAATGAGGTATTGTAGGTGCCACGATACCAGTCTGTGCAAGATTTCATGGCGTTTGGGCAGTTTAACCTAGAGAAAGATCTGTCAGGAATGTCACAGGAATTTCTACCATGATTACAAGTTGTTTTCTCCCACTAAAATCAAAGTATGGATAAGGTTAGACTCTTATCCTGAAGCAAATAACCAATCCAACTCTAATCTGTAGCTCCAATAGGATATAAGCTTTAAGAAAACAGGAACTTTGTTCAATTCCCAGTACCTAGATCAGTGCCTGGAACCTGGTGGTTATTCAATAAATATACATTGACTAATGGAACAAATTTGTGAGTCTAAAAGAGGACACCATAAACCTTATGAGTGAAACTTGAGTATTTTTGCAGACATGGGAGAAATGTATTTTTCTTCCAACAAATTCTGGAGGTTTGTATTCTGCACTGTAATTTGTGTAAAATTTAAAAAGCGTATTGTAGCTCCATGTTTCAAGTGAGGGGGTAACCCTGGTGATAGCATTGCACTGAGGCAGGACGGTGCTGTGGCCCAATTTGCCATTCCCAAACTGAGTGAAAATGGGAAGTCTCTTCACCTCTCTGAGTCCATTTCTTTATTGGTTAAATGGGAATAAAACCTATCTCACTTTGCAGAGTTGTTTAAGGATTAAATGATGTAATGCATGTGCATGTCATCTATAAGCTTTAAAGCATTATATAATTATAAAATGTAAACCAAAGTTAAATTTATCAGCTTTAAATATTACAAGAATGTCTTCCAAAGGCAGTTGATTAAGGATTTGTGGTTTTTTTTCTGTTTTTCTCTAGTGCAGTGCCTGGAGATGACCACCAAACGGAAAATCATCGGCCGTCTGGTGCCGTGCCGATGTTTCCGAGGTGAAGAAGAAATCATCTCTGTGTTAGATTACTCCCACTGCAGCCTTCAGCAGGTGCCAAAGGAGGTCTTTAACTTTGAACGGACATTAGAGGAGCTTTATCTAGATGCCAATCAAATTGAAGAGCTACCCAAGGTAATTCTTGACAACCTAAAATATACCCTGTAAATGATTATTTCATAGTTTCCAAAGACATGATAATGATCATGATAACTATAGCCTTCTATCTGGGTAATTGACAAATCATTCAAATTGATATAACTTGCCCCCATATTCTCATTAACTTTTAATACCACTCCATTTGTAACTTCATGTGATATGTTAATAACCAATTGAACTCCATGGAAATCATCATTTTTTGAATTATGCCTTGTTATCTTAATTTAAAATAGCCTCCAAGAAAATACAGATTGGTGCTTTCAGATCAATAGTTTATGTTTAGAAAAGAAAAAAGAAATATAGTGCTCTCTATTCCAGAACTGAAAAATTTGTATGTTATATGTTAAGGTGACTTTGTTTGGAAACCTTGAATTATATGTTCTAAGAAATACTTTTATATACAAACACACAGTTAATACTATTATGAAAAACATGTTGTTTCTGGAATTTGGCATCTTTGATTATTAGAGATATCACTGAGTTTATATATACAACTAATAAATATAGTGTAGCTAAAAATTTTAGCTAATATCAAACCTTGCACACACACATGCACACACATACCGCCATTATGATGTTGTAATATGCAAAGAAAATGTCTCCTGTGACCTCGTTCTCCACTGCAGAAAACATTGCATGATAAGAGATTAGTTGAAACAGGCCAAGGCCACATAGCAGAGAGGTTCAAAGTCTAAACCTCTGGATCCTAATGATCACCTAAATAAGTGACTCAGATTAAGTAGTTGGCATGGCATTTACCTGTGAAGGATTTACACAGTTGGTCAGAGGGAAAAAAAAGTCATGTAATACGTTTTCCCTCGTTATGCTAAAAAAATGCATATTAAATATCCAGGAACCAGAAAAAGAGTCTTCCATAATAAAACTAACTTATCAAAATCTGAGGATAATGTGCTGATCAAAACAAGTTATGAATAATTGTTTCATTTGGTATTATAAATTATGGTGTTTATATAACAGCTCAAAGCTAGGAACTATTTAATGTGTACTTCAAATCCAACATACTTCATTTTTTATAATCTAATTACATAAGGTCATCTTGAATCTTTGCTCAGGAGGGCTGGGTCAGGCTTAAAAAAATTTTTGGCCATATGGATTAGCATCCGGATTGCATATCACATAGTGGCGGAACTCAAACGGACTGTCTCACATCAGACTATGAACTACTTGAGGGCAGAGATGGCATCTTCTTCATCTTTGCCGCCCTGCAGATGAGCATTCACGGTCACTTTCTTACAATGGACACTGAATCTATTTGTTGTCACTGCCAGGTGGAACAATGCAGAGAACTTCATGTACCATACGACTTGATTAGCAAAACTATATATAGTTAAACAATCCATAAATGTGACATTTAGCTCTAATTTAGAAAATTAAGCATGAGTATTTTTTTTAGAGCAGGCCAATCTAGGATTGCCAGATAAAATAAAGACCATCCAGTGCAATTTAAACTAAAAAAGATTTTTTTTTAGTATGATTATGCCCCAAATATTGCATTGGATTTATTTATAATAAAAAAATAGTTTATTATTTATCTGAAATTAAAATTTAACTGGGCATCCTGTATTTTAATTTACTGAATCTGGCAACCCTAAGTCAATCTGGTCATTTAAAATCTTTTTCTGGATCCATGCAATGGATTCTTTAAGACAAAGAGTAAAAACATGGTTAATTAATCAATCCAGTATTTATTTAATATGTAGTCTACTACACAGCATTTGAGGCTTTAGGGGGGGTTACAAGAGAAATACATCCCAATCTTTGCTCTCAAGAATCTGACAGTCTAATTGCAGAGAAAACTCAAGCATTAGAGGTGAGTGCACAATAGTGTACAATCAGAGCCAAAGAGCCAAGTACTGTGGTGCAGCTTATGTATAGAGAAGAGTTCCATTCTTAGAGGGGCTGACCAAAAAACACAGATGGAAAAATTAAGATGGTATATACAGAGAGGGGGAGGAGATGGGCAGCAGAGCTGTGAAGAGTCTGGAGCTGCAGGTACATGTGGGTGAGTGCCAACAATATGTGGGAGAGTAGGGAGGACCCAGGTTATGAAAGCTCTTGAGAGTCAGGCCGCATTACTTGAGTTGATGTTTTAGGTAGCTAATGCCATTGGAGAGTCTTAGGCATCATGTAAGTTATTAGGAGCTTGAGCAGGCTTGGACTAACAATCAATAAAAATAATGCAAGTGAACCGAAGACTTAATATACCTCCCCAATGTATTTGAATTAAGGAGAAATTATTATCTTTTATTATTGATAGGCTTTATATATTTCGAAGATCTTTCACATAATCTTTCAAGGTTTCTCTGAGTCCCCAAATTCTATTTTGTTGCTTTCATAATATGGCCCTGTAAGTTAGTTTCTTCTAAAGTATCTGATATTGAAATATGATCTAAATTATCTAACACTGAGATATGATCATGATAGTAAATAGATACATTGGTACATTATTAGAAAAATAGGAAATTAAGAAACAAAAGGAATGATGTATTAATTAGAGTTCACTATGTGTGTTTCAAATAATAGAAAATGCAATCCAAACTAACTTAAACAAGAAATAGGCTTGACTGGCTCACATGAGTGGAAGACTCATCTCGGGACAGGCTCCATAGTTGGTATGTTTCTTTTCGCCTTGTGTGGGATCAACTTTGTTCAGAGGCTGCCTTCTTTCATGGTGGCAGGATGACTGGACTAATTCCAGAGTTCATTTCCACAGCATCCAAAAAGTGAAATATCTGGCTCCTGAAAACTCTTTCTGGAAAGGACAAGAAAATTTTGCCCCCAGAATTCCTCCGCTAACTTGTCCTTACGTCTCATTGGCCTTAATTATATCACGTTCATTGCTGATCCAATCCCTTTGCTATGGGATCCACTATGGCAAGAAAAATAAGATCACTTTGATTGGATTAAACAATGATGAGCCACCTCTGTGGAGTTGTGACTGCTGGCAGCAAGAGAGGGGAAGGGGTGTAAGGACTGTTGGGGAGATTCTCAAAACATAGTCTACTAACCAAATGTTAAAAAATCAGCATTTATGAGGAAGGTTTGCTCTTAATCAAAGACAATATATAAAATTTTTAAGGACTTGTAGGCAAAGTATTACGCCTTTGGTGATTAAGTAATGTATTTTTTGTCTGCTGTCTTATTTTCTTGTTTTCTTTGTATCCCTCTGGAGTTGTTACTACTGTGATTTCAGATTTGTTGAGTAATGAGATAGCCATTTATGTTCTTGTATGGCAAGAATTACCTTTTATAAATGTTTTATTTTTTTCTTTCTGATATTTTATACTGAGAATATTCTAGCTGGCTGTGATTCTCTACTATAAGATGTTATACAACAGAGAACAGAGTCAAGATTAACGGCATTAGGAAAAGATATGTCAAGAGTGTGTCAGAAAAGATGCAACAATAGATATGAAAGAACAGGAAGTTTTTTGATTAAGAATAGTTGAATCTGTGTTGCTTAATTTTCTGTAGTGAAAGGTAAAAATACAGAATGACATGCTTTTTACACAGTAATGGAAACCCACACAGCTATAATTTAGCACTGTTTTTCTTGCTATTTAGAGTTGGGAATTTAAAATTATAGACAGAGTAATAGACTATAATAGGTGTATATTATATATGAAATAGTGTGGGAAGGCAAATGTGAAAAAAATCAGTAAAGATAAAAATTGCAGAGAAACTTCTTGAAAATGAAGAGGAACTTTAAAAAAGAAGAGAATAGAAATAATTTTGGACAAGCTAAGGTGTGACAAAAATTGAAAGACATGAAGAGTGAATTTGGTAGATGAGGTCAATCTAACCATATGTAAAAAGAGGATGAGTCTAAATCTGAAACACCATACTTACAGAGTTTTCTTCATTGAAAAGTTGACAACCTACTCCAGCAATATATTATGGGTTAAGAACCTGAGCTTTCGATCCAGACAAACTGGAGATTAGATCCTAGCCCTGCTCTTTGGTTGAGAAGGTATTTTATTTTCAAGAAGCCTCAGTTACTTCATTAACGAAACCGGGAAAATTATAGTACCTTTCCTGTAGTTAGATAGATGATAGATAGATGGATAGATAGATAAAGTACACAGAGTATTGTGTGAGATCATGCATGTGGAATACCTGGAATAGGAAAATATTCAGTAATTGGTATTCATCATTCTCCAATCACAGATAAAGGAAAATTTCCATGTTTAATTACCTTGAGTAAAACAAAATTAAGATTTTATAACATCTCAAGATAGTTCTGGGTATTGACTCTCGAAAAATAATGTGGTGGCATGACGTCTTCTCTATCTGAAATCTTCGAAGACAGGTTCTAGGAAAATAATCCCCTGCCCAGAATTGACGATAAGTTTTGACCCAAACAACTACACCAGCACATTTGTGATAATACCACTGCTTCCCCAGAGAATTTCCTTGACTCAGAGAATCCCAGTGTTGTATCATTTTTGAGTAGATGAAACCTTGAAGATTATTTTATTTAGCCTTCAGTCATTACTAAATAAACAATTCTCGGCTGGAAAAGTTAACTTTTTCTCATATAAGTCTCATATAATCCACATGGGATGTTAGATTCCTATACAAAATTATTACCAAAGACTTTTTATTAGTTAGGATAGAATAGGTTATGCTACAATAACAAGTCAAAAGCTCAGTGCATAAGTGAACAGAAGTTTTTCTTTGTGTCCCATGAGTGTTGTCAGGGACCATTGCTCTTCAGGAACCTGTAGCTAACAACTACTTCAACTTTTCACCCAATACAGAAGTGTCTGCTTATTATTTCTCTTGCAACAGTTATCTGACCTCTTGATGAACATTTATATTAATGGAAGAAATCACTAATTTAAAAAGCAGGCCACTATATTATTGGAAAGTTCTGGTTATTAGAAAGTTCTGCAATATGTTGATGAAGTTTGCCTATATCCATCCACCTAGCTAGCAATCCAAAACTTGGCTAG